GCATAGATCACGAATCAACAGAAGGCCTAACCCCCCAGTTTAACACTCTGTATGCTTCAGTGGCTAAGAATAGTTTTTTTTTTCCTCTCAGACAGTTTGCATCCAGTTGAATGAGTTCTCATGGAGAGGTTTCTACTTATTATTATAAAGTCATAATTATAATAACAGACATGTACAAATGATATTTCTCTTTTGAGTCTCCCCACAATCCTTTGGAGAAAAGCATTATAGGCATCTTAGGCAAGAGAAAAGAAAACTGAGTTTCAGAGAGAGTAAGGAACATGTGAAAATATAGTATTTTATCAAATTTTATAATTTTAACATATGAAAAAATGTCTGGACAGTTCTGCTAGTGCTAAGGCCAAAACTTTCTCACTCATAAATGTCTTCTTTCTCAACTAGTTATAGAGTTTGAATCTTCAGGAGCTAAAAGTAGCACTCACTAGTATCTGAGCCTGCTACAGAACATTTTTTTTATTTTCCTTTTTTTTCCCTAAAAGAATGATGTCCGGGTTTTGAGGGAATTACTACAAGACTGTGTGTAAGTTTGACTTTTTTGGTTCTTCTAGGAACTTACAAGAATAAGGGATGCCCAGATATTCATATGGAATTTATAAAAACACACAGCAGAGGCCAGGTATTGGTGACTCCTACCTATAATCCTAGCTACTTGAGAAGCAGAAATTGGGAGGATCACAGTTCCAGACAGACTTAAGCAAAAAGTTCATGAGACTCCATCTCAATAGGAAAAGCTGGGCATGGATACATGCACCTGCCATCCCAGCTAGAGAAGGAAGCATAAAGAGGGAGACTGTGATGCAGGCCAGGCAAAAAGCAAGACCCTATCTCACAACTAACCAGAAGAAGCCGGATGATGGTGGCACAGACCTACACCCCTACCTACTCAGGAGGTTGAGATCTGAAGATTTTATTACAAAAATAGGCCTGGAAGACAAACCCATGAGAGTCTTATCTCCGATTAATCAACAACAGCAACAAAGAAGTAGAACTAGGGATGTAGATCAAGACTACCTGTTAAGTAAGCTCAAAGTCCTAAAGTCTAACCTCAGCCACACACACAGAGAGAGAGAGAGAGAGAGAGAGAGAGAGAGAGAGAGAGAGAGAGATGAAAGAAAGTAGAAAGGGGGATTCTTTGAGAAAAGCAAGGAAATTGCTCAATGAAGCCCATTGTTTTGAACAATTAATATGTGCTAGAGGAGTAGGAGATCAAGGAGAAGGAGAAAGGAGGAGCCTGAATAAGATTCAAGATGGCAAGGTTGAATTCTTCCAGAAAAATCCAGCACTTGTAAGTGAGAGAAGGAAAAATAAAATTCAACCTGGTTCTACAGCCTGTGATTGACGCTTGATACCCTTTTCCTGGTTTTATTCACTTTCAATACATTGACTTCTGATATATGTTTGTCCCTTTTCTTCCTGCCCATTGGCCGCGTACCATCCTATTTCCCTTTAGAAAAACCAAATTATTGTAAAGATTCAGCATGTAACAGCAATTTCTCGTCAGCTGCTGTCATGGAATTCTATGCTGGCGCAGGGACAACCAGAGCTGGCTAGTTTGTGGAGACTGGGGAACTCTCACTGCTACTGGGAATATAAGTTAATATAATCATTGGGCCTCAAATCAAGGTCCTCAACTAGAAATAGCACTACTGAAGAATATCCAAAAGATGCATTTATTACAGTATCACCCTTACATTCACAATAAGCCAGAAGTAAAATCAACCAAGGTGTTTAGCCACAAATTAACAAATAAATAAAACGTGCTACACAAACACAGAGGAATAGTATGCAACTCTATAAAAGAATAAAAATTGCTATTTCAAGCCACATGGATGAAACTAGAAGACATTATGCTAAATGAAACAAGGCAAGGATGCAAAAGCAAACACTGAATGTTCTCACTTTGATGAGAAATTAAAAAATTAATTTCATAGAGGTAAAAAAACACTGATTAGAGTCTTTGGAGAGTAATGGGCAAAAGGAGTGGCTAACAGATAAAAGGGTGACACTGAATAAGAATAACTTTTAATAAGTTGTAATGTAGAGTAGCAGGGTAACTAGTTCACTAAAATTAATTGTATAGGTTTCAAAATATCTAGAGAGGATTTTGAATTCCCCCATCACAAAGAAACATGTGTTTGCAGTGGTAGATATACCTGTACTGATCTGGGAGCCAGTGGCTCGTGCCTGTAATCCTAGCTCCTCAGGAGGCTAAGATCTGGGGATCGTGGTTCAAAACAGGCCCAGGCAGAAAACCAGAAGTGGCACTGTGGCTCAAGTGTTAGAAAGCTCGCCTTGAGCTGAAGAGCTCAAGGACAGCACCCAGCCCAGTGTTCAGGCCCCACAACCAAAAATAAATAAATAAATAAACAAACCTGTATTGCAATATGAAACCATGCCTTGTAAATATATGTAATTATTATGTCAATTTAAGAAGAATGGCATTAGCTAATTTCTTATAGATAACTTCTAAATGTTATTGTAAGCACTACAAATGAATTGATGTGCTTAATTGTCACCAAGGAAAATCTATGCAGCATTGGTGTTAGTAGCTTTACAATGAGGAAACTGAGGAGCAGAGAGGTTAGGGCACTTGTCCGAATTCATAATCCTAGAAGTGTTAGTCCTGGCTTTTGAACTCTGCACATCTAGCTCTGTACAAAGAAACTGAATGCATAGGAAACAGAAAGGTTTCTTTTAATTGTCTTTCAGCAGGTTTACAAAGAAGTTGCCACTCCTTTTTGTGCTTTTAGTAGATCTCTGTAGAGCAAAATGAAAGTTATGTTCATTTGTCATTTCCAGTTTATCTAGCACAGCAACAGAAAGCAATAAATTCTTGGGAAATCTTTAGCAAATTACTAAAGGAAGAAGCTGCAAATACTTCTGTAATAACTCTGAACCATTTCAGGCTGACAGGCTGGAACACCAGCGTTCTGAAAGCCCCGTATCAGGGATACTGCCGCAACTCCTAAGCCACTGATGTCTTTGAGTCATGGTAACCCCTAGTCTAAGGTCCTGCTGAATGATGAAATAAAAAAGACTCAGTTGTTTCTAAAGATGGTGAAAATGCCAGGAGGCTCAGTGCCAGCCCACAGAAGCCACTCAATATGAACTCAATTAATGGATTTGTAAAGAAATGACTGGATGACTCACTCTCAACTGATAAAAGATGTCAGCCTCTGAAAAAGCTCTTTGTAAGATTATTGGGTCAGGATCTTATCCTTAAAAGAAATTCTGGATTAAATATACTTTAATGTTTGTCATCATAACCACCTGGAGTATTACATCTGCATTGAAGCACTTACTTAAGTGTCCCCAGTGAAGAATTAGAATGTTTTTAGGAAACCAGGGACAGTACTGAAAAGGACTTTGTATATCTGGGATAGGCTCCTATATGTTTTAGAAAGACCTGAATGCAGTATATATGTGTGCACATATATGTATATACATATATACTTACACATATATGTATGCGTAGGTATATATGCATGTGTATATATACATATGTATGTAGAAACATACATATACACATACAGAACACACATATATATGTATAAAACTAACAGAAAATTTAAGAAGTACCACAAACATTGTTTTAAATTTAATTTTGAATAGAACTATAATCCAGGTTGAACCACTGCCAACATTGGTGACCTACTTTCTACTCATCATATGCCACTGATTTAATACAATCCACTAAATAACTTGCCCCTTGCTGTGAAATGGTCTACCAAAGTCTTTGGAAATATCTATACAATATTCAGTATATTCATCATTCATAGAGCCTTTCTTATAGCTGAACAGTGAGGCAATTTTTGCTTTGGAGGGGAATTTGGTAAATAAATAATTTATAAGTAATAGTGGGCTAAATAGTGGGAAATTTGGATTTGATTTTTAAAGATGTAGTTCATCACATCATAAAATGTGCTTTTGCTAAATACTTTCCTCAGCCTCTTATTTTAGATATATTTTCAAAGTCAGAATTCCCCCTTTGTCTTCCTCACTTACCACTTATACAATCTTTTCATCATCTTTGCTTATTCAACCTTCTTCAATTTCTGCTTCTGAACCACGAAGTCTTATTATTATGTCTGTTATCTAGAGGTGGGGAAACAATGTCAAGGGCTTGGAATATTGGATAAGAGCCTTTGGGGGTCACTTGTCACTCACAGAATAATACTGCTGGAATCTTACCTGTGGCAACCAGTCCTTGTTTCCTCACCTGGAAGATGGAATACTGGAAGAAGGATGGGAGGATTAGACGAGATAAAGCGTGTGACAAAGACTTAGTAAACCGTCATGAGTTCTATCTAGCACATGTCTGTTGTTGTTACCTTTATACATGTTGACAGTGAAAAGTGGTGGTTGATGTTGATTCTCTCAAACTACAAGGAAGCTGTAAAAACAAAAAAAAAAAAAGCATTTGAATTCCCTGACTTGTGATGCATGATAACTGTCAGAAGAATATTTCCCAAATCCACCAAGCATTTTGTGTCGTCCTGGAGAGTTGGAAAGTTTTTGCTCAAAAGCTGAACTTGCAACCTTCAAGGTCTATTCACAGGTACTTCAGGGAACAGACTGACCCAACCCAGCTCCAGGAGCACAGGGCACAGCCGCCTCCTCCCTGGGGGCGGAGCTCAGCATTCAGCTGGGCTGCGATTGGTCCAGACTCTTCACTGAAGGGACATTTAATGATGAAGGAGGATGCTGCGAAGAGACCAGCCAGCCTGGGGAGAAGTAAAGACTGAAAGAATGTGCAGCCTCCCTCAGAGCAGGAGAGGTTGGTGACAGACCAGAACAGGGACAGTGGGAAGTTTGTTTCACTATCAGGCTTGTGAAGGGTCAACTGAACTAAGGAGTGTTTCTGCTCAGGCATCATATCTCAGGGGAATGAAAGGGAAGAAAAGCGGTCATTTCGTGGCCCAGGTAGAACAATAGAAATCTCAGGAGTCCATCTAGATGATCCCTAGGATTCGGTGACCATGAAGCTTGAAGAAAAACTTGAGGACAACGGGAGCCTTGTAGGAACGAGTCAGCCCTACCTAGCTGAGACGCATCAGGCGAATGGGAAGCCCAGAGCAAATGGGAAAGCTGAGAGCTATGTAAAGCCAGAGGCAAATGGCAAGAATAATGTGCTCAGCAAGAGTCTCAACACGTACACCTGGCAGGAGATCCAGAGACACAATCAGGAGGCCGACCAGTGGCTGGTGATCAACCGCAAGGTCTACAATGTAACTAAGTGGGCAGAGAAGCATCCAGGAGGGCACCGAGTCCTCAATCACTACGCCGGAGAAGATGCCACGGTAAGGACTTCCCGGCTTTCTCTCTGTCTCTTTCTCTCTTCTCCCCTCCCTTGCTCTCTCCCTCCATGCCCTCCCCTTTTCTGACTCTGCCAGCTGCTACATGGCTCAGTTCTTGGCTCTCTTCCCAAAAACATTCAAGTACGTGCTCAGCTCCACCATCACTCATCTCCTCCCTAACCAATTTTTCAAGATTCCTATCTAAACAAGTCTAGTTAATATGCACACCCAGTTTGGGGCATATTCAGATGTTGATAGTGGATACTGCTGGTGCATTCTGGGTTTGGCTATGTTCTTGGTGTTGGTTTTCATTTGAATAGAAGTGCAATCACACTGTCTAATCGGAAGAAACTGGCAAAGGTGAAGGTGAAGGAAAAATCTGGGGGGAAAAAGGAATATATGAAGTTCACACAGAACTTTCTGACTCTTGTCATTGGAGTGAAAGAAAGAAAGCCATCCAGTGGACACAACTCTGTGTCAATAACGACGAAAGAGCTAACCATTACCAGGACTTTGAGTGTTTGCAGAGCTCTTCTGCACCTGGTAACTCATTCAGTAAGACAAAGATGATACAACCCACTTCTATGGATATATTCAAATGTGATACCTTGCTTCAACCTCCCCCAGTGAAGCTGAATATCATTTCCATATTACAGATGAGATAGCTGATACTCACAGTGGTGACCAATGTGTCACATATCCAGCAATTGATAATGACAAATTCTATTCTTTTTTCACATTCTAAGAATATGTACAATACATATATATGCATATATGTCTAAATAAATTTGACCATGTCTATAAAGATGTTAGTGACAAGTTTTATATTCTGAATGGATCAAGAAGATGTGGTATATATACATAGTAGAATTTTGCTCATCTGTTGGATGAGCATTTGCAAAGGAATGAAAGGATTGGGAGGAAATTGTGTTAATTTGAAGTAAACCTGGTCCAGAGAGATAATAGTTGCGTGTTTTCTTTCATATGTAGAAGCTAGAATCCGTTTATAGACACGTAAGTAAACACATTGGGTGGTGTGCACGTTCATATGAATGTATTAACTGAAATACAGTCGATTTAAGGGAAACCAAAACTAGGGTAATCCATTAGAAAGGCAAAATCAAAGTTAAGCAAAATAGACATTGATATATGAGAGAAAACATTTGCCCTTCATCTTTCTAAGCTTAGCCCGGCTTACTCCACGTAATATGATTTTTATTCCAAGTCCATCTGATTCTCTGCAAATTATGTTATTACAAAATTTCATTCTTCCAGATGGATGAATAAAATTTCATCGTATGCTTGTGTGCACATAATGCATATAAACATATTTATATTTACATATGTGTATATGTGTGTGCTTGTGTGTGTATGTGTGTGTATAGATTTCATTTTCTTAATCCATTCACTAGTTATGGACCATTTCCACAACATTGGTATGGTGAACAGTTCAATAGTGCTGCTATGAACACATACAGGTGACTTATTAAGTCTTATGCCTTTATTATCACTGCATCATATGATAGTTCTATGTTTAGGCTTTTGACAAACCTCCACACTGACTTCCATAGGAGATACACTAACGTAACATTCCAACAAATAGCACACAAGGTTCCTTTTTCCCTCATTTCCTTGCGTGCACTTGTTGCTGGTCATACTTTTGGTGATGGACATTCTGACTGGAGTGACATGGAATCTCAATATTGTTTTCATTTGAATTTCCTTTCTGGCCTTGAATGTTAAGCATTTCTTCATCTATTTATTGATTGTTTGAATTTCATCTGAGAAGTATCTGTTTAGCTCCTTTGCCATTTATTGATTGGATTTAATGATTCCTTGGGATTTTCTTTAAAACTCTCTGTATATTCTGGTTCTTAGATCTTCATCTGAAGTAGAGCTGGCAAAAATCTCCTGTTCTGTATGGTGTCTTTTTAGCTTAGCGACTACATCCTCTGCTGTGTAGAATCTGTTTGTCAACCATCTCTCCTTGTTTGTTGTGAAACAGGAGTTTATTCAGGAAGTTCCAGCTTATAGTATTACATGGGCTGTGTATTTCCTCCCAACTGGAATTTTTATTTTCCACATTGTATAGATAAAGAAATAGAGATCAAAAGAAACAAAACAACGGGCTGGGAAGGTGGCTGAGTGGTAGAGCTCTTGCCTTGCATGCATGAGGCCCTGGGTTCGATTCCTCAGCACCACATAAGCAGGAAAAAACCTGGAAGTGGCGCTGTGGCTCAAATGGTAGAGCACTCGCCTTGAGCTGAAGAGCTGAGGGAGAGCTCCCAGGCTCAGAATTCAGGCCCCACTACCGGACCCCCCCCCCACAAAAAAGAAAAAGAAACAAAACAACAAGCTTGAGGTTAGAATTTAGTATGACAGAGCAAAAACTGAAACCTAGTCTTTTTGTTGCTGTTGATGTACCTGTTGATTTCACACACAAAGAGGCATAGAACTTTTCCAGCTGGATTTCCAGGCCAAGGACTGAAGATATCACTTTGCTGAGCAACAGTCTAAAAGGAGGGTGTGCTACTAAGAAAATTTACAGAAAATTTACTGGTAGATTTATAAGGCACCGGAGACGGAATCTTTGATGCCATCAGCATCTGTTCCTGCAAATCTTAGTTTTCCTGAATTATCCCACCAATGTCTTATTTGTTCATCACTTTTCTGTCTTCATTCTCTCATCTGGACACACCCTGCTAGCATCCCTTGTTCTCTTGTCTGAATGATAGTTTTTAAAATAATGATAACCTTTCCTTGGGAAAAAAGATGGAAGTATCATAGATGTTGATACATGTCTAGAAATCTAGCAAAGTGGAGGAACATTTCTGTATAAATAACAGACAAATAACAAATATAAAAATGATTTGAAAGAGAAACACTGATCTCTTTTTCTTCTGTTCCCTCAGTCCTACAATTTAGGTACAATGGATCAGGCTTTTCCAACACACATCACAAAACTAGCTCAAGGATGTGCTGGCAAAGACATGGGCTTTCAACTATGTTGAAAATCTCAGATAAGGACAAACACAGAGGCTCCAGGTTGTAATTCCACTGTATAAGAAGTGTGGGTAGGAGAACTGCAGTTCAAAGTTAGTCCTGGGGAAAAAGAAGTGTGATCCCTTATCTAAAAAATCACATAAGTCAAAACAGAAAGAAAGAAAATGTCTACAAACATATATCAAATTATAGAGCACTTGCCTAGCAATAACAAGTCTCTGAATTCAAGTCCCTGAACCACCAAAAAATAACTAGAATAATAATGAGAAGGAAATAACCCAGCCTCACTTGAAGTAGCCAGACAATAAATCTATAATTTGCTAGTGATCATTATCTCCCAGAAACCAGGGTATTATTATGCCTCTACTTCCTACTCTAAACAATGAGGAAAATGATTAGTGTAATACTAGCAGATCCTTAGGAACAAAAGACAAGCAGCCTTCAAATATGTATGTGGCAATAAAGAAAAATCACATGCACAGTCAACTATGTATTACGTACCTTAGAAAAATAAATCTAAAGCTGTTCAGAGGAAAGATATTCTCCAAGGAAAGCTGGCTCCAGATTACTAAAAAGTTCCAGAAGGAGCCTCTGGTTACTCACAGGGCTGAGAACTTGAGCCTTTGAATACGTTAGTCAAATTTAGGAAAGTCACTGAAATGCTCTGAGAATCAACTTCAAGATCTGCTAAGGAGAAATGGACCTACCCAGGTTTATAGTAAGTGGAATGTATATTTCATTAGTAAGTGAAATGTATACCAGACATTAAATTATGGTTCACTAGATGGTAGCGATGAGTAGTCATACCACTAGAATCCACAGTTCCTTTATAAATATCATCATTAATTTATGTTAATTTATCATCCACTTAGATGCTCTGATTATATTGTATGCTCTCTAGTTGGAACAGAACGGTATATGATGGGAAGTGCATTGTGCATCCTAGCTAAGAAGTCAGAGCACCTGAGATCAAACATTCTCTATAGAACTTAAAGTACTGAGTATGAGTCTCTACATGGCAGCCCTGAACCCATGTTTGCACCTGCCCATTCTTTTTGCTCACACAGGAACTCTTTTCTAGGCCTCATAGAAAGTGGATATGATTCCTACCTACATGATATATCCATCCCATGGGATTATTTACTCTACCCTTCATTTGCTTTAAAGGCTTGCTGCACAGAGGTACAGTCTGATGCCTAAAGGCAGAAGGTTTGGAATGAAACGGATCTAGTAGGACCTCTGGACTCTGCACTTAGTAGGACCATCCAGTCTTCCATTTACTAGGCTGGGCCATAGAAAGTTGTTCAAGCCTTTGGAATCTCTTTATCTATAAAGGGAAAATAACATCTTAACCTTAGTTTTGTTGTTACCATCTCTGGAAGTGGAATGAAGTGCTCTTTATGGTGCTCAGCATAGATTAAATACTCAATGAATGAAGGTTACTTTGTGTTCTATTATTAGTTCCTTTCTTCTGACATGGGTTTGAATGTTCTCTAAGAAACTCAACTTTCTCTAAGAAAATAAACACATCAAAGGAACATTGACTTAAGTGGTCTCTTTCAAATGATATGATTCTTAAACTATTGTTATAGTACTAATTACTAGAGTTTTGGCCTGGGTATTTTTACTCGTGTGAGCTCACCCAAGAAAAGCCAGAGACAGCTTCTAAGTGCAACAGTGAGGATCAATTATAAAGATTGGCATATAATGACAACATAATGGTCAGTGCTGCAATCTTTAAAATGAGGATCACGAAACACTTCAATAACAGGACACACATATGAATAAATAGCTGGCTATCAATTTTATAGACAGCAACATTGTTCTAAGCTCCACCAAAATGTAAATGCTGCCTTGCATTCACTGATACATGTTTGGAACAAAGAAATGAGATTTATGATCTTATGTGGAGGGCAGCGAGCTTCTCATCTCTAGACAACCTCCCCCATAAATGTCACAGGAAAAAAAAAAACTTCTGCCCTGAGTCACAGATGAATAAGACAACGATGGATGATGAACGCTTATAGTCTTCAACCATCTTGAAGATTCCTATGTAGAGAAATGTAGCATCGTGTTTAACTCCCAAAGAAAATTCCTTGCATGTAGCTTGGGATAAACAGTGTCAACAAATGCAAGGCTGGGACAGGAGAAGCAAAGGAAAGCAGAGGTGGAGTGCATTATGATTCATGTAGGCAGTAATAGCACACTCTTCATCTGAAATATTAAAAGCCTCGCTCTAGCCACTACCCTTGGAGCACGAAAGATCTGGAAGAACAGCAGAAAAGGAGTTCCCCAAAGGTGTGGGAATGGGAACTTCATCTTTGGCTGATTATGAGAGAGTCTCATGAGTAGTTAGCAGTTAGCAGAACTGGGGTATGAACCCAGAGCCTCATGTTTGATAGGTAGGGGCTCTACCACTTGAGCCACCGTCTCAGCTTGTAAGCTTTTCTAAGTAAATAACGGGGGGGAAACCTATATTTCAGTTATCTTATTCATGATATACATTCTCTCCAGTGGTATTTTTTAAACATGTTTGTTTCTTCATACCCTTCTGTTTGGAATTTTCAACCCATATCAATGGACCCAAGTAATCATATTGGTAACTGTGTGCAATTATTTATTAGTGTGTCTAATTTCAAAGCCTGTGATTTTAGCCACCTTTTGCCATTTCAAAGCCTACGATGTTAGCATGGATAGGCTTGAGAATGAGTAGGACTAAATGAATGAAGGAACTAGTAAATCCATGTGATGGATTACATAATATTATCTACATGGATAACAAAAGACTTAGGAATTGAGGTAAATCACCCCGTGCAAAGGTGCCTGATCCATCATTACCTCCAAGTAGCTTAGTCTCAATGGCAAAGGGCAGACATTTTGTGGTGGTAGCTCCATAGACACAAGGTTTGACAAATGGAATGTCTGGAGGATTTCAGGACACACTTGCCCTCTTGGCGGGGCATCTTCCTGCAAGGAACAACTTGAGTAATATTATTTAAATTATAAATGCAGTGTTTGGCCTCAGGCCTTCTGACTTACACGTGTTTCTCTTTCACTAGGGATTATATTGCTTTTATAGGAAAGCATATCACTTCCCTGTTGATGATAGCTAAAAATAAATTAGCAGCATTTCCAAAGTGTTTGTAAAAGAAACATAATGATCACATCTTTGCTATATTGACTGATCCATTTCTAGCTGAATGGCAATATAAATTTGTGAATAAGTTCAGAAGAGGAGATGATGATGGAGAAGAGAGCCAGAAGGCTAGTGAGGGAAAATGAAAGAAGTGAAAGTAGTAAAATGTAAAATAGAGATGTGGGGGCGGTCAGAAAGCGCATAGGCATTTACTACCTGCATCCTTGGAAAGCAAGGCCTCAGTAGTGCAATGCTTCCCGTAAAGAATTGTTACATCCTTATATCTATGCACCTGTTCTCTTATTCACCAGGCATGTATTCATCACATGCTATGTAAGGGGCAATGCAGTGGGTCTTAGCCACACATTAATCCATAGCAGTTACTAGTTCTGGTCTTCAGAAAACTCACAAATAATTAAGAAGAAGCCAATATACTCTTTTATTGCAACCTAATATGAAAAGATCTAGGAACAAAGTGCCATGAATGCCTAGAAGTGATTAGAATTTTTAGTAAATGAATGAGGGGAGGAAATTTGTAATATAGGTCTTAAAGGCCAAAGAAGAGCTTAGCTGTATGGAAGAAGGAAATCAAGCAAAGTGAATTGTACATGAAGAGACACAGACTATTTGTTAAGTGTAAAAGATACAGAAGAAAAAAAAAAGATACAGAAGAAAGTGAGGCTGAGAAGGCACAGGAAATGCCTAGATAAACATACCAAAACAAAATTCCCTTTGCACCATGAATTGATGCTAATGTTTTTAATGAACTCTGTGATTTTTTTTGCTTCTTTTGTATGTTCTTCCCACTATGGTATATCCCCTGTTGTCACTGTATTTGATTTTGGTACCCTGCATCTTGTATATACATTTATCTAATTTGGGGATGGGAAGAGGAATAACAAAATGCTGAAGCAAGGACACAGGATGATCCATTGCAACAATGATACTCAAAAGACACTATGTTGGAAATGATCTTTACATCTTCCCACGGGGTTGTGGGGGAGTAGGAGAGGGAAGAGATAGTAGGAAAAAATCACAAAGGAGGGAGTAACCATGTTCGACAAGAAATACACTCATTACCTTATTCATGTAACTGTAACACCTCTGTACAGCATCTTTACAATAAAATAAAAAATAGTTAAAAAGTTAAACCTAAGATGGAGAAACACCATTATCCTCTTTCCAGTAGATGCAAACTTATTTTAGCATCATTTAAAAATGATCTTGCATTGTGTCCCTTAGAAAAACAATTATACATATCAAGAATGGAGCCGTTGCTTACAACTTCATTGTTTTAGGCCCAGATAATCCCAAATTTCAACCCTGGTTTTGTACTGATGGTGGGATATGACATCAAAAGGACTCTCACTTTTCAAACTTGGTGTCTCTTCCTGTGTAACATAAGTTATACCCTACAAGTTGGCCCACAGAACATCTTTCACATAGGCTGCACGGGGTTAACTCTAGCTCCCTCTCCTTCTCCTTCATTTTACTCCCTCTCCTTCTTTCAGCAGGACTATACTTGCCCAGGAATGTAAGTAACTGAACCTGTTCTTGCAGGTTTTCAACAACAGATTTCACAACTTAGTATCTGGGTTCTATTAGAAAACTATTGAATTTTCTAAAACTTCCTTGCTATATTTCCCCATGAATGCACTGAGAACAAAGCTCCACAAAACAGATCAATACTTACTGTTCTGGAAATGTCTATACCTCATTGGTATTTGTCATCACAGTATAGACCTCCCTGGGGATCAGGAGAAATGATGAACTAAGAATAGTATAATCAGCACATTGTAAACATGTAATTGCAATAGATTACATTCTGTTTTGCCTTAACATTGATCCTTCAACATCCACCATTCTATCCTGCTATGAAACAGCAAAGCAGGTGTAAATTTTGTCAGGATGTATTGCCATGAGAGACCTTCAGCATTCTCTTAATCATTAACTCATTCTTTTCCTGGTCAGAACTAAACTGTAGCCACATAGAATGTGGAAAAAATTTAAACATCCTTGAAATACCATCATCTCCCAAGGAGGATGTAAGAAGAAGTATACAGAAGGAACAGTAAAGCCTGGAATGGTTCTAAAAGACAAAAACCTGAAGTAAAAAAAAAAAGCTAGTTACATCATTACATCTACAGATCCATAGGTGAAATGAATCCACATAGTTAATATTGAATCTATTTCATTACTCTAATCAGTGTATAAGACCTTTATACAAGTAGGTATATATGTATTTCTTGGATATATTTAAAGCAGCTACATGATTTGAAGATGTCGGATTTATTGTATTCATTGATATATTCAGGAACAACTCTTCATTAGCATTAGAGTATAGGAAGACTGTTTCTGGATTCTTGTACTAAATGTGTTATATCTCTAGAGTTTTATAAGCAACAACACGTGTTAATAGCTATTATAAGCTTCATATGTGCTAATCCACATTCCAAATTAATTCATTTGATCTTCATGATTACTCTATAAACTGAGTGGCTACAATCACCTTCATTTAGGGATGAGAGGATAGAATAATACACACAAGTCAACAGACTTGTCCTAGAGTTAGTAAGCAGCAACCTCAGATTTTAAATGTTGGAAAACTGACGCCAAGGTTTGGTCTGTGGATCCGTACTGTACATAACCACCATTCTTGAGTATTCTGTGGCCTCCATATGTTCAACTTACAACCTCTGTTGTTTTGCTTTCCTTTTCAATCCCTCTCACCCCCAAACCATGACAGCACAAAGTCCAGCATTTATCGCTTACAGTCTCTTCCTCCCACCCCACTCCCAAAAAAGCTATTCACATTCTTGTAGAAAGAGAGTCTCTTACTTCCCCATATAAGAAGACCTAAGAGCCCCACTGCTCCTCCATACAATGTGGAGTGAGTAGATGATGTTGACAGGAAGTAGTGGTGGTTTTTGGTTTTTTGTGGCGTTGTAGGAGTCTTTCGTAACAAACTTTGTGAAGAGTGTACTCCTTTAGACAACCCAGATGTAAGGAGTGGGATCTCATGACTTCTCATGTCTTTGCTTTTAGCCACTGTCATTAAATCAAATGTCTTTCTCTGGAAAGACCTAAGCAGGAAGTCTCATTCTTCTGGGTCTTGACCAACCACCTAAAGGAGGCCCTCTTTAAAAGAGTGAATCATCATCAACAGTCTTAGATACTGTGTGGCTCAGACAGTAGAGACCACTTCCATATGTAAGCTTATGAGTTAAAGATTCATCTTGGCCAAGAGACTCAAGAAACTCTTTCCTCTGATAGTCAAATAAATAGTGATATTCCTCCGATGCTCCAGGAGCCCCTGACCATGTTGGCTGTGCCTGAAGAAACACTACCTAGGCTAAATGGGTCTCTGGCATTATGCTTTCATAGGAAAGTCCTAATTCATCAACTCAAAGCTTCCACATGGAAGAATTAGAAGCCAAGACTGTGTGTTGGATGTTGTGTTGATTGCCGAGTTGGGTACAGGTCAAGTAAGAAGAGGTGGGTTGGTGTCTAAACAAATGTGTTTCCTCTCCCACACTTCCAACAAGTATCTGTGATTTCCAGGATGCTTTCACGGCCATGCACCTGGATCAGGACATTGTGAAGCGGTACCTGAAGCCACTGCTCGTTGGAGAGCTTGCCCCAGGAGAGCCCAGTCTGGAGAGAAATAAAGATGTAAGTAATGGGTCAGTAACCCACAAGGGAGAATGATGGAGAAAGGGAACATTTCAAGGTCAATTTAGTATTGGGTTGGGGAGGGGACGGTGTGAGAAAGTACATGACACGCATGTGTAAGCCCACCAGACAGTATAGTAACAGAAGGTACATTTCATGACCTCAGTGGGTACTTGAAACTTTGTCTGGGACTGGGCCCTATGTACAAGTAATGTGATACCATGAGAGATACCTTGATTGCCCGCATCACTCACCACTAGAAGGACAATATGTAAAACACGGATATATTAGTAGACATGGAGATGATTCGTGCTCTGAACAGGGGGAGAAAGAATAGCAAAGAGATTCCATCATGTGACTCAGAACAATGCACCATTTAAAACCAAAGAATTCTCTGCTTCTGAAATATTCTACCTAATACTTTTAGGGGAGGGGCCACTGGGAGTAACTGAAAGACATAGAAAGACAAAAGAAGGGCTAGTCAGAGGGGATTCTGCATCTCTCTAAGCAGAGTCATTTCTTTAGATCCTCAGAACTTTTAAACTACTGTGAAACAAAGAATGGAATTCTTACCGCTATACTCAATAGTCGTTCTGAGTCTCAACGTGCCCGCTTTATGTCAGGAAACTTACACATATTTTTATTTCAGTGACTGCCTGTAATTATGTTTGGTGTCTATGCCTATATTCCTTGTTACAATTTTTAGCACTCTACTCAAAAGTAGCTCTCTGTCTCTAAGCACCTGCTTTGTGTCAGGAAACTTACACATATTTTTATTTCAGGGACTGCTTGTAATTATGTGTTTGGTGTCTGTGTCTCTATTCCTTGCTACAATGGATTTCATGAGCAGGGAATGTGTTTATTTTCCTTATCCCAGTGTCCTTTTTGCTTGCCTGCACAAGATCAGACATGTACTAAGAAGCCCATAAAACAGTGCTGAATGAAAGCTTTAAATATATCCTAACTCTTGCCCATTTTATATGTGGGCAAATTGTCACTCGTGAAGAATAAATGGCCTTTTGAAAATCCCCACCGCTTGGTATATGAAAGAACTGGAATTCTAAGTCACTTTCTCACAACTTCTTCAGTATTCTCAAGAATACCATTCTCTCTTTAATATTCTCAGTCTATGAAATAATGTCATCCAAAGGTTTCTATAGATGAAAAATTTACCTAGATGGCTTTACATAAAGCTTAAAGCGATGATCCTTAATAGAAAAAAATTTAAATTTGTAATGTTGTGTGTGTGCATGTACAGTACTAGTGCTTTAACTCAAGATCTCCAGTGTCCCTTGAATTTTTTCACTCAAGGCTAGATCTCTACCACTGGAACCACACCTCCCACTCCTGAATTTGAGGTGGCTAATTAGAGATAAAAGTTTCATGCCCTTCTTGCCTGGGCTAGCTTCTAACTGTGATCCTCAGATCTCAGTCCCTTGAGTTTCTAGGCTTATAAACGTGAGCCACTAGTGTTCAGCTGTGATTTATTGGACAAGAACTTAAATTTGTTAACTTTTTAAAGTCACTTATACAAAGTACTGGTCCATATATCACTGTGAAGTAGAGAAGGTAGGAGTTTATTTCCTCTTTAAAAAATGAAACAGAAATGTGAGGAGAATGTGAGGCACAGAACTGATTCTGAACAGAGCTGAGACTAATGGTTTAGAGTCACTCCATATGCATATATAGATATACAGATATCACATGGCCATGTTTCAACATCATAGCTCTGCTTTGAATATTGGGCTCTGAGGAAGAGCAGCCTGCACTAATTCACAATCCCAGCCACTCTCAAATTGTTCAGACTCATTTCCAAATCTCTCTGTCCATCAGTTTCTCTCCACGTAAAATATCAACTTTATTCGAACTGTCAGGAAGAAGAATGAGAGAAGTAACGTTCTTCAAAGAGCTTAGAACAACACTGGACATATAAATGTTTGATCATTTTAGGTGTTATCGTGACCCCAATGATGATAGAGCAACTTACAAAATTCCAGATGTATTCCCCTCATGTGGGGAAGATGGCCCCAGGCTAGTGAGAAAAGATGACACCTTGCTTAGTTGATACCTCCTGAAGACTTTCTGTCAGGAAAAGACAACTCTCAATAATGGCTGAGAGCTATAAGACAACCAGGATTTAAAACCATGCTCATCTCTGGGAGGTGAAGTCTGCCACAAGTTTTCTTTAGGTAGTCCATGCAGATACTCAGGTCTTCGTACATAAAAAACTATGACACTGGGTGTCAGGAGTTGTAGGTTGAGATCTCCCATTTGTCACTGACTAGATGAATATTTCAATCCAGTCAGTCTTCTGGATTTTGATGACTTCTACTCAATCAGTCAATTAGAAAAGCTGATCAGACTAGGAGCAACCTGAGAGGTGACTGATAGTAGTTATTCAAACTATCTATGTAGGGTCACCAGAATTGTAAGGTTAATGGAGTACTGAAAGATAAGCCCCATACAGACTTTGGGCCAGTAATGGTTTTTTTAAAAGTTGTACCGCTAGCAGATGATGGTAATTTCTCAGGAAGTAGAGATAGGAGGATTACATTCAATGCCAGCCCAGAAAGCAAATGTTAATTTTGTCCTGCCTCTAAAACAAGCCAGGTATTGTGTCACATTTTTATGGTCCCAGCCACATACAGAGATGGAGGAAAGATAATTGCAGTTCTAGGCCAGGCCAGGGCAAAGTCAATCTGAGACCAGCTCTGAAAAACTAAAAAGCAAAAGGACTACATGTATAGCTCAAGTACTTGAGTGTTTGCCTGCCAATCTTTACTGTCCACAGTAAAGAAAAACAAAAATTTAAGGTTACATCAGTGTATTTTCGAATGAGACTCTGGCATCTAGCATTACTTTCATAGCTGCTTATTGTTTTTATTTGGAATTTCTTTCCTTTCTTCCACCTGTCCAAACTTGATATTTTTTTTTCCAAACTTCAGTCACCTTCTCAACTGTTCTGGCTATAAAACCAGCATAGCATCAAACCAAGTGATACCTCTCGCAAGCCCCTGCACACTTCCCTAGGTAGTGTGGCAAGTTTTATCTTGCAAAACAATATGTATTGTACATAATCACACACAGGCACATTCACATAGTAAATATATAGGACAATGCAAACCTTAACCTGCTTCCGAAAATCTGCTGAAATAATCCTCAAAAATTCATCCTTAGAGCTCATATAAGTGAATTATGTGGTTGTGTGTTCACACTTTTCCATAAAAGAATTCCTTGGATACATTCAAGGGCTGAAAAGAGGAAAGGCATCTTGTAAAGATCACCAGTAACTATGAGAATATTCTGGAAAATACAGATTCATACGCACAACCAAGTTTGCCATTAGTAATTAGTAAGAATACATTGTTACATCCTTATACTCTCTTCTCCCCTTGGGGTGGGAAAACTAATTCTTCTTCCCTTTAATATATATTTTACAGCCACAATTGGTGGAAGATTTCCAAAGATTGCGAAGGACACTGGAAAGCATGAACATGTTCAATGCCAACCTGGGCTTCTTTTTCCTCCACCTTGCCCAGATCCTGGTTTTGGAAGTCCTAGCATGGCTAATCCTGTGTCATTTTGGTAGTGGCTGGACGGTTACAATACTTGTTTCTTTTCTCCTCACAGTGTCTCAGGTAAGCTGGTATTCTAATTCTACGCAGTATCCTAGGAGAGATGCACGTAGATTTTTCTTCCCTTTTTTGATTGGTGTCAGCAGCTCCCTGATATATCTTGGCAGGCTATCATCAAGGTTAAACATTTATCCACATGTTACTAAACTTCACTAAGCCTGGATTCTCTCATCCATAGAGTAAGAACAATCATGAATATTTAAACAAAGGAGGGGGTAACAGTGCTTGATAGGAAATGGATTCATTACCTTGCTCATGTAACTGTAACCTCTCTGTACTGTATCTTTATAATAAAATATATATTAAAAAATTCTAAGAACACAAAGCAAGCTAATATGGAAACTACCTAGCATGATATCAAACACCTGGTAAAGGTTTAATCGGTGACAATTGCTATTTACTCTTCATCTTGTTTTGTGTCTTCCCCCCACCCACAATTTCAGTAATTATAATCTTGTCCTTGGTCCTGTAACATTCCTCTTTTCCTTTCATTCATTGATCCACCAACATGTATCAATGAACTAGACTGATTTCAAGAACAAGGACCATTATCTTACAGAGAATGGCAAGAATGTCTTATAAGGGACAAATAGAAACTGGTGCTTTGGAGAGACTTCGAGAAATCTTAGCTGAAGTACATACAGTATGATTTCTGCACGTGGATCCCAAGATCACAAGACTGTATTGTAGATATAAAGGGAAATTCACACACTTTTCCTCTAGGAATGTGAACATCCATGCAGGTAGAAGCCACTCTGCTTCTAGAAGGTAGAAGACATTCTGCCAGGCAGAATGAGATACAGGCCATCAGGAGTAAAGAATACATGCTGCTTTAGAATAGAAATTCATTTCATTCTCGTTGGAAGAAGTGGGAAAGATCTTCGTAGAGAATTAGAAGTCATGTACAAGTGGAGTCCAAAATGTTCACATCATTCATTTTTTCCCTTGAAAACCCACCTTGCTTTATTCTTTGGAGAGCAACAGTTGGAAAGAAAGCAGGAAACAAGTATTTGGTGCCTGCATGTACTGAATATTTTACTCTATATAAATTGTACAAAGGCCCCACACATCAGGTGTTATTGCCTTCATGTATGATGTAAATACCTGAGAAGAGACATACTGAGTCATGCAGCTCCTAAGTGATCAAGAACCCCAAGGCCTGGTGTTTCTACTCCACACTGGGAGATTGTTAATAGTGGTCAAGAGAGAATTGCGACACCTGTACAAAGGGAGGGAGATTAGGAAGAAGATGGCATGTGTGGGAAATAGAAATACTTCCTGATTTTTTCTCTCCTAGGCTCAGAGTGCGTTTTTGCAGCATGACATAGGACATCTTTCCCTGTTCAAGAAGTCCAAGTGGAACCATCTGATGCACAAATTCGTGATGTGTCATCTCAAGGTACAGGGTGTCAGACAATGAGATGGGGACCCCCCATTGCTATTCCCAAAGACAGGGTTTCCATGCCCAATTGTGTATGCATGCCAGTAAAAAAAATATTTTATCATCTCCCCCAAATATAAATGTTCTAATTATGTAGCTTATACATACTAATAGGCAATATAACATCATAAATAGGTGATAAATTACAATCTTCATTTTTTATTAGAAAACTTCATTTTTATTTAAGAAACTTATATTTTGGTTACTCTGAGGCTATTTGGCACAATCCATGGCATCTCATTGTCCTAAAAAAAAACATTAAATTAAAGATATCACTGGCTGCTAGTGGATCATATCTGTAATCTTAGTTAATCAGGAGACTGAGGTTTGAAGACTGAGATTTGAAGGCAGACCAGGCAGAAAAGTCTGTAAGATTGTTATCTCCAATTAATCAGCAAAAATACAAAAGTGGAGATGTGGTTCAAGTGGTAGAGCACCAGCCTTGAGCAAAAACAAAAGCCTGGCAAGAGCTACAAGTCCTGAGTTTAAACCCCAGTACTGGCATGTAAAATAAAAGATTATCTAGCATATATAATATTATATATATATATATATATGTAGGTATACATACACTATATAAAGTTTACAACAGTCCCACACATCAGGTCTGTCTAGAGAGACACAGAGAGAGAGGTACTGTAAATTCATGAATAAAATAGTCATCTAGCATGGTGCTGGTAGCTCATGCCTGTAATCCTAGCTATTCCAGAGGCTGAGATCTGAATGTTGCAGTTCAAAGCCAGCCAGTGCAATAAAGTACATGAGAATCTTATCTCCAATAATATACTACCCCTTCCCCAGAAAAATCCAGAAGTGGATATGTGACTCCAGTGGTACAGTGCTTGCTTTGGGCAAAAAAGCTCAGAGACAGTAACCAGGCTCTGAGTTATTTGTAATATTTATATTTTACATATTGCATATTAAATATAGTCATCTTAGAAGAAATGTGAACCTTTTTGCTGGGAACTAGAGGGAATCCAGCAGGTCTGATTGATTCTGAAAAAGTAGCACTAAGAAACTAAAGAAAAAAGCTGAAGGAGACCAGGTAAAAGTGAAGAGAAAGGGAGAGAATGGTCAGCAAAAGCCAGGTTGGTTACAAAACCTAAACATATGGACAGATCAAAATGGTGACAGCCGGCCTCATCCGCCCTGGTATAAGCTCCATGGGGCAGCTCCTCTAAGCAGTGGCTAGCAGCATGCCACGCACACAATAGGCCTTCAAATAAGCATTTTTTGAATGAATGATTAGAGAAACAACTGAAACAAGATGACAGCGCATCATTGTTTAGAGTGACTTTCAGCCTTGGCTCTGACATTACTCACAATTTCATCTTCATCACCATCATCCTCATCATCTTTAAGTAGATATACAAAGGGGCTTCTATTCAGCATGTCCGTTTGTGAGCTCAATGCACCTTCATCAAGGTGATAGCATGCCTGTCTCTGTTCTTCAGTGTTCTCATCTACAATATTAGGAGTGAAGCAAGATCTCTACTTTGCTTTTAGCTCTCTGGGGTTTGTAGTCACTAATGCCTCTGGTTCCCACCTCCCTGGCTCTCCCCCAACCCCACACACACTAAACCAAATCCTTCAACCCTTTTAAGGAAAAAAATTTGGAGGACATAGACTCCGAGCCTATGTGTTAGCATAGAAGTTACTAATTATTTATTTTAAAAGCTATTTTGTGGTTTACCAGCTGGCAGCCCCTTAGAAGCAGCCAGCTACTAAGGAGACAACAAGAATGCTGGAACTACAGAGAGAGCAGTAGTCATGGGCAGCGAGGGAGGGCCGATGGGAGATCACAATAGATGGAAACTGCCACCTTCAGCTATTATATCCTGTAATTTTCACAAATGGGGATTCTAGTGCCCCTATTTCACAGTGGAGATAGATAATCAAAGGGTTTGACTATTTAAGCCAATGTCAATACCTTGGTAAGTAGAAAAAATTGATAAGAGAGTTACATGGTACAGACTTCTGAGCAGTGTTTCTCAATTCAACCTACCAGTTAGAGGCACTAGAATTTTTTTTAAATGCTTATCCAGACACCGTTGGCTCATAACTGCAATTCCAAGTACTCAGTAGTCTGAGATTGTGAGAATCCTGGTTTTTTGAGGCCACAGAGCAAAAGCAAAAAAAAAAAAATGTGGGAACAGTTGAACAAATAAGCCAAGCGTGGTGATACATGCCTGTAATCTCCACCCTGTGGGAAGCCGGAGTAGGAGGATCATTGTATGAGCTTCATCCACTCAAAAATGCATGACCTTATCTGAAAAAATATAATGTTAAAAAAATTAAAGCACACAAAGACTGGGAGTGTAGCGTAAGTGGCAGATTGCCTGTCTTGCAAACTTGTAGCACTGAGTGCAAACCTAGTATTCCTCCTACCCCAAGCTGTACACTTTTTCAGATGTTCTGGTAAAATTCATTTGTGGGAAGATCTATCAAACCAGTTTTGAAACTTGCCCTCCCCCATGTGATTCTAACTTGAACCAGAATGACATACTACTGACCCAATGACAGAGCTGCCTTCCACGCAAACTCTGATTAGCTACCGATTAGCTAGGCCACTTTGAACAAGATATTACATGTGTTTGAAGTTCACTTTCTTCACTGGTAAAATCAGGGTAGATAATGGCTTCAACACGGAGGAATAGAATAAGGATTATATAAAGCATCCATGCGCCATATAATAGTATCTGAAAATGCTCAGTCATTTCTAACTGTTCCTGATATTTGGAACAATCTTTTCATAAAGCAATGGCCAGACTCATTAAGAAAAGTATTTAATCGTGTTAGTATTAAGGTAGGAAAGTAGCCCTCAAATCTCAGACAGTCTCATTGACTTGGAAAGAATACTCCCTCTTACCTTCCATGGAGCAGATTATACTATTTTTTTACTCTATAAATACAGTGAAAAAAAATCCTCGAGTATTCCAGTATTAAAGATATGACTACCCCTCAAAATGCTTAGAATGAGAAATGAAAAGTCATTTGATGTGACAAGTTTTACTGAAGCATAAGATTCTCATGGCATGCAATGCCAGCAGCATCTATCTGTCCGTGCTGGATATACCAGGTAAGTGTGGCAGAATTCACTGAGAAATACCACAGAATAAAAGCAGAGCTCTTTTCTTGTCACCATCAGACTCAGGTGGAAAGCTGGCCCAATGCCTTCCACTCCATGAAGGAGCCTGAGAAAGGTGAAACTCGCCTGCCCCTGAGGTCATTGGCAGTGGACTTGGTGCCAGTTTGTACAAAATTTCCCATCAGCCCCACCCCTGCTGGCACCTTCGCACAGCCAATGCTTTCCCCACTGGTTCAAATCTATACACCACAGCGCTTTATATATTGTGTGTCCAGAATCCATTTGACCCAAGTTGAAATGACTAGAACTGATGAACTTGTGAACAGAACGAAAAAATGGGAGTGGAGTCCAAAAGCAAGGCAGGGTGTATTATGTTAGCCTTCATTCAAGCAAAGCCAGTGATTTACGAGCAAGATGAGTATAGGCTTCAGCTACAGGTAGAAGAGACAATCACCTGCGGTGAGGAAAGGTGGGCGGAGAAGAGATGACAAAGAAACTTAGGAGCAGTCACATCCCCTCCTTGCGTTTGCATCACAACTTTTAATTTCAAAACTTGATCTTCCATTCCACCTCCCAATCCCAGGAAAGGCAGAGATACCGAGTGATACACTTTAGGACTTTTCATTCACCCCTGTTGCAAAGTTAAGTATCTTCTAGTCTTTGCAATGTAGGCACAATAAAAGAGATCCTCAAGAAGTAAGCTGCAAATTGACGACGTAGTTTTCAGATTTTTCATGCAATACTGGTGGAGGAGTCCCTAATCTGAAAATACAAAATCTAAGATACTCCAAAATCTATACGTTTCTGAGCTCTGACATTTTCTGACAGCAGAAAATTCCACATCGTAAAACTTTGTTCCATTATTTTTTTTAATTTGGTCAAGGGTTCCAGTGGCTCATGCCTGTAATCCTAGCTACTTAGGAAGCTGAGATCTGAGGATGGCAGTTCAAAGCCAGCCTAGGCAGGAAAGTACCGAAGACTCTTATTGCCATTGAACTACCAAATGTCTAGAAGTGGAAACACCAAAAACCTAGCAGTGAAGCTGTGGCTCCAGTGGCATAACGTCAGCCTTGAGCACAAAATCTCAGGGACACTGCCCAGGCCCTGAGTGTAAATCCCAAGACTGACACAAAAATAAATAATTTTATTTATTTATATATGTATGTATTTATTTCTTGACATCCTGGGGCTTGAACTCTGGGCCTGAACACTATCCCTGAGCTTCTGCTTCTTTGGCTTAAGGCTGGTACTTTACCACCTGAGCCACAATGCCACTTTTGGCTTTTTTCAATAGTTTAATGGAGATAAGAGTCTCACAGACTTTCCTTCCTGGGCTGGCTTCCTGAGAGCCTCAGATCTCAGCCTCCTAAGTAACTAGGATTACAGGTATAAGCCACTGGCACCTGGCACACTTTTATTTTAGTTTTTAATTTCCTTAAGCAGTTGTACAAAGGGATTTCAATTCAACATGGCAGTCTGTAATGCAACTTAGTTAATGTCACCCCTTTTATCATTGTCTTCTATCTCCCCCAACCAAATTTTTCAAAATTGTAAACGAATTAAAATATTTCTAGTCCCAAGCATTTCAAAATAAGAGCTGTGTGACTGTTCCTGACACCACAGTAGACCCCTAGAGATGTGTCTTTCAATCTTGCCCAGCCAGCAAATTTTGAAAACAATACAAAACAAATGTCATTCTGGGGACAATGGAGAAGAATATTTTAAATGGAGACCTTCCTACAAAGGCAAACCTAGGCTGTTTTCCATGACTACATTCTAAAACATTGGGAGTGTCAAGTATGTTGCTTCCTGGAATTTTCCCAGGAAATTGTCAAGTCACACACCTCATAGATGACCAAGAAGGCATTTAAATTAGGCTTGGTTCAGGGCAAAGCCTGGATTATTTCTCCTGTACTGAAAAAGGACTTGACACAGAAATGAGGAACGGCTCTGGGTGTGTCAGATGATTGTCAGGGACAACCAAGCACAAAGGCTGAGAACGTTCATTTACTCGTGAAGGACTCTCTCTCTCTTCTGTCTCTGAGTAAACTTGGCTTCCAGACCAAGCGGCCCAGGTAGAACAGGTTGTTTAGAACACACCCATCATTACCCTGGCCACTGTTTTAAGCTTTAGGGCTTTATGCTGTTAAGATCTGTTCCCTGATCTATTGTGAATCACAACCTGTCTCACAGGTAGGTAGTGGTTAGCTAGAAGATACTGTCACCTGATAGAAGAGGGTCTGGAGAAACTTAATTAAAAAGGGGAATTCACTATCGCCCTTGTTCTTGGTTAGTTGTCTACTGTTCCCACTGGATTACATGTTTGCTAATACGGGCGTTCCTTGAGACCATGTTTACTTTGGCATTTCAAATGCCTGGTTCAGCATCTGACACATGGGACAAACATCAACATAAATAATGAGTGAATGACAGAATAATAATAAGTGAGTGCAGGCGCAGTTTTGAGAGTGAAAGGGTCCTATAGAATTTGACAAAAGTACAGGGCGCAGTGGTTCCCCAAAGATGGGCTAGACATGGACAGCCCCAATTGGGGATACATTGAGTCTAAGATATCAAAAGGATCTTCAAACAGAAACAGATGGAAAGTGCTTTCACAGGCTGTCATGAGATTCAGGAGAGAGCTGGGGAGTAGAAGGAGGCATCCCACTGTAAGGAAGTCAGAGTGATAGGGTGGGAAGAGAATTACACATTCCACCCCTTATGTTTGGAAGTGTGTAGGGGTCTCCTCAATCTCTTAGCAAAGCCCCAAGAAAACTGTGGCAAGACAGAGCTAACACTCACAGGTTTTCAGGCATACTCTCCTTCTAGATGTATAGTATCCAGTATTCTACAGGAGAAATAAAATGCAAGTCACATGAAAATAACCTATCATTTTGAACTTTCTACTAGTTACATTTAAAAAGCAATTTATTCATTCCATATATATTTAAAATAAACCCTACTGGCAAAGACATATACAGAGACTGAGCATGAAAAGCAAAACAAAAATTCAAAACATCAAAATATTGACCAAAACAAGGATAAGAAAGCATAGTAGTTTGAATTGAAACTCCTTTGTAGACCTACTTAAAGATAATTTTTAAAAAATAAAAATTCAAAGCAAAGAAAGAATATTAGAAATTGAAGATAAAGTCAAGAAAATATTACATTCAGACAGCAATAAGGAAAATATTACCAGCATATAACAGATGTAAGAAATGTTTGCGTAATATTTGGCTTTCCTTGTTTTATTGATACTGAGTCTTCAGAATATTGTCTCTTTTATGATACTTAATTCAGCTGGCTACAGATAGTAAATGGTGAGTGTATTGGGATAGCACAGATCTAGGACTACCATTAAGAAACTGCAAGATGTATTAAAAATTGCTGCTGTGCCATGTTCTTCTACAAATAATTAGCATCAATAAAAAGGGCTGGAATATGCCAATGTACCAACATTATACATACATTATACATACATCTAGTAGCTTCCTGTACTACCCAGAGAGTGAATGCCTATAAATGCATTTAGTGGGGGTAGAATGCAGATTCAAAAGGGATGAATGCTTTACCACAACCACACAACAGCATTTATGCACCCAACATATGAGAGAGGTTGGTATACCTCCAAATCTTCTACTTTAGGAAAATCTCTAAAACTTTTAGGAAGAGAGAAAATCATCAACAACCTCATCAGAGAGGATTCAAGCTTGGATTTATTTTTGCAGGAGAGCATTGAAGCTGGGCTATATAATAATCTGAGCCAAGTCTCCCGTGGAGATCACTTCAGATCTATGATTCTTTGAAATATTCATTGAAGTATGCTATGTGGAGCCACCCTTTAATTCCCAGAACTAATTAAAGTCTTGGTAAAATAGAAGTAATCTTCTCTTCCCTGCTTACCTTCAGAATTAGAAGAAGAGCAAAAACATTTCATGTCAGTAACTTGTTCTATATTTTCATTTGGGGGAGTTGGTTTAGCCTCAAAATTTGTTTCTGAATCAGAGAACTGACTTCAGAAGCACTGGGAATTTTTGCCCCATGAGTCAGTCTGTAACCCAGCCTTGCAATTGGGCTATAGAAATGCAACTATCTAATTTTGCCTTTGAGGATGCATTTTAATACAACAATGATAGGATATTTGTCAATTAGTTAATGAGTTAACGAATTGACTTATTAGTTAATCATTTTTTTCTTCCCTCAGGGCTTGTCAGCAAGATGGTGGAATCACAGACACTTTCAGCATCATGTAAAACCAAACATTTACCCCAAAGACCCAGATATTGATGTAGGCCCACTTTTTCTGCTGGGAGATTTGCAACCTATCAAGGTATGTATTTCTCTGCCCTAGGAAACCACAGAACCTTCCCTAGAAGTGGATTCTGGAAAGGCTTTCATCCTTGTGTTTGGAAAGACCTAAGAAACTTTCTCCTTTGAAGTTTAAGATATAGATTTGAAATAACAAAAAAAAGAGCTTCTAAGAACAGAAGTATATTTGAGGTCATGACTCTATGATCATCAAGGTCATTCAGTCCAAACTCCCACACCAGGAGATATGATAAGTCGTATCACCTGACTTGGGCAATCTCAGTGGCAGACAGGTCCCTGCCCAGTACTTACCACTAGCTCTGATGTAATATCAACCACTATTATAAAGAAGAGCATCTGTTGTTACTAGAGTTCTTTGATTATAGCCATTCTAATGGGTGAGGTGGTATCTCAATGTTGTTTTGATTTACATTTCTTTTATGGCTAGAGAGGTTGAGAATTTCTTCATGTGTCTATTGGCCATCCTTCTTTCCTCTTCAGAAAAGTTTCTCATTAAGTCATTAGCCGACTTATTTATTGGCCAGTTGTTTCTTTGAGGATTTGTTGTTGGGGGATTTAATTTTTTGAGTTCCAGGTATATTTTAGATATGAGACCCTTGTCCGTTATATGGCTTGTGAAGCTCTTCTCCCAATTCGTGGGCTTTCTATTGATCTTGCTAGCTATGTCCTTTGCCATGCAGCTCTGTAATTTCATGCAATCCCATTTGTCCAACCTTTCTTTGATTTATCATGTTTATGGGTCTCTATTAAGAAAATTTTGGCCTGTGCCAAGGAGACCTAAGGTTTCTCCTATTCCATCCTGTAATGCTTTCAGAGTGTCTGCTTTGACTCCGAGGTTTTGGATCCATCTGGAGTTGATTTTGGTGCAGGGTGATATATAAGGATCTAGCTTTAGTTTTCTACAAGTAGTTAACCAATTTTTCCAGCACCATTTACTGAAGAGGCTGTCTTTCTTCCATTCGATTGTTTTAGCTCCCTTATCGAAGATTAGATGGCTATAGGTCTGTAGGTTCATTTCTGGGTTTTCAATTCTATTCCATTAGTCCTGAGGTCTGTTCTTGTGCCAGTACCAAGCTGTTTTGATTACTATGACTTTGTAGTAGAGTTTGAAATTTGGTATTGCTATTCCTCCAGCACTGTTCTTTCTGTTGAGGAGAGTTTTTGCTATTCAGGGTCTTTTATTGTTCCATATGAATTTTTTGGAATATTGATAGGTATCACATTCAATTTGTAGATAGCCTTGGGAAGTATTGCCATTTTCATAATGTTGATCCTTCCAATCCAAGAGCATGGGAGGTTTTGCCACTTTCTAAGTTCTGTTTTGAGTTCCTTTTTCAGGTATTTAAAGTTTTCATCATAGAGGTCCTTCATTCCTTTGGTTAAATTAATTCCTAGGCATTTTATTTTTTGTGGGGCTTTTACTATGGAGTTGCTTTCCTGATTTCAGCCACACTTTTCTCATTGTTGGCATACAGAAAAGCCATTGATTTTTGTGGGTTAATTTTATACCCTGATACATTGCCAAAGGTTTGAATCAGCTTGAGTAATTTAGTGGAGTCTGTGGGATTCTTTAAATACAAGATCATGTCATCTGCAAAGAGGGAGAGTTTTACTTCATCTTTCCCTATTTGGA